TGATCAATCACCCCAAAGACATAGGCCCCGCCCAACCAACCAGGGCTCTGTGATGGATAGCTGCAGGGTAGCCTACAGAGGGATCATGGGCTGATGACTGGGCCCCCCAACCTATCGCATTGCACCCGCCTTGGCTGGCCTGGTGCCAGTGGGTATCATAGCATGGTCATCTGAATGGTCATTCGGATGTTCATTCTGCTGTTCATCATTGGGTCGATTTGCATATTAATTATGCTTTTATTATTATAGATTGTTTTTCCAAAGTATGAAGTAAATCTAAATTAAGAGGAGCCAAATTTCTGGAACCATTCTTCTTAAATGTGTATGAGAAAACAGCCCTCTGCTTATGACCTCTTATTTTTCTCACTCTATTTATCTATAGTTCAAAGATTACAGATTTGTGGCTGGAAGCAATATTTCCTTGAAATCCACATTATTTGAATTTTTAAACGTTAGATGCCAATATTTAAAACCAAGGAGATTCTCTCTGCCTCCCACCTCATTTGGATTTGCAACTTCTTTTGAAAATCCTAAGATCTGTCAACACAGGAATTGTTCTGCTTCTTGGAGACAAAGAGCTTTGTTAGGTGAATACATTCTTACCACTTCCTACTGTTCCATACCAGACCCTGCCACCCACAGTCTCTGCTGTAATCAAATGGTCTTCAATGTGACAAAAGTAATGAGTAGAGCAGGATTCAGATGGTACTGTGATGGATGGATAAAAGAGAGCTATTTTTAATACTTCTCTGAGTTGTGCGTATAGGTGTTTTGTTTATTCTACCCCACCCCCAATGTTTCACCTAAATTGTGAATTATCTGGCCAATGTCTAGGTTTCTAATAGGTTGGCAGCAGCTCCTTCACACATTAATTTACAGGTTGGATATTTTAGAATTATGGTAAAACTATATTAGTTCAGACCAATTGGGACAAAGGTGGCAACACTTAGTAGAAAAATTATATTCAGTGTATGTCAAAATAAATGTAATAAATTCCTTGCAAGTATTTAGGTTGACATAATCCACCTCTAACAGTGTTTCCAAGAAAGGTGTTTTTTTTTTTAAAGAAATTTTAGTAAATAGATAACATTAATTTATAATTGATAAATATTAAATATAATTAACACATGTATTTTTATTAAGAAAACTTCTTCACCTTAAGACACACTTTCCTGAGATAGCTATTTATTCATAGGTAGTAAATTGCAGGTTGCCACAGGTTGAATAATTACACTTCAGATTTGGCATCATTCAGATGATTGCACTTTTGCATTAGTAGTATTTGAGTTTATTGTATTTGGCTAAACCAATCAGTCCTTATGCCAAAACACAAAATAAATTGAAAGCAAATAGATGGCCACAAAAAAACTCTATCCTCAAAATGTAAATGCCAGCACTAAAAATGGATGTGATTCAGAGAAACATAAAACCACATGATCTCACTCATTTGTGGAATATAACGAACAACATAAACCAATGAATACAAATAGATCCAAAGACAGAGAATCATTGAACTGTCAAATCTCAGAGGGAAGGCAGGTGGTTTGGGGGTTAAAAATCAGCCAAAGGACTTGTATGCATGCATATAAACATTACCAATAGACACAGTCACTAGGGGGGTGAGGGCATGTGCTGGGGGTAGGGGTGGGAGTACATGAGAGAGGTCAATGGAGGGAAAAAATAATATTGTAATAGTTATGTATGGGCCAAGGAGGTTCCTTAAAATATTGGGGAGACCACTTGGTAAAGTATATGATTGTCTAACCATTATGTTGTGCATCTGAAACTAATACAGAATACTACCGTAATACTGTATAATGGGGGGGAAAGATGGAAAGTTGTATGTTATGTTCTTCATCATAACAAAAAACAAAAATGCACACAAATTGGGAAGGAAAATAGATAGATGGATAGATAGATAAATAGATAGATAAAATGGATAGGATGAGATTGCAGAATTAATTTTCTAGGTATTTAAAAACAAGAATATTCATATGTTCATTTATTTATTGCTGTTTAACAAACCACTGCCACACTTAAAACAGTAATCATTTATTTGCTCGGGAATCTGTAATATGAGCAGGACTCAGCAGGGACAACTTATCTATATATTCCATGAGGTATCAATTGGAGCTGATAGATCCCAGGCTGGAGGATCCATTTCCAAGATAGCTCATGTATACAGTTTACAAATTGGTGCTGCATCACAGCTAGTGGCACAGCAAGGATACTTGGGTTCTCTCTACTTGAGTTTCTCCTCTGGGCTACTTGGGCTTCCTTCAAACATGGTGGCTAGGTTTTAAAAGTGAATGTTTTGAAAGGATTGGGTTCAAGCTAACAGGATTCTTTTAACTTTAGTCTCAGAAGTCCCCATATAATGCCTTCTATCACATTCTATCGGACAAGTAAGGCATTAGGTCCAACCCACACTGAAGGGGAGTACAATAGATTTTACCTTTCAATGGAAAACATATCAACTCATTTGCAAGTATCATTTACCTACAGCATTGCACATCTAAGATATTCCTATTACTAGGAAATGCTGCACTAAGTGAAATGCCTATTCAGGGTGACCATATACTGTGGAAGAATGCTTCTGAAAGGCAGATTACCTGGAGAGCTCCATCTGGGGCTCAGTATAAATCCATATGACTCAGGGTTACATGGCATTGGTTTTCTTTAACTTGGAGTTTTTTAAAGAATGAGTGGTGGCCTGTACATGAATGCAGTGTATATTTGGCTGTGTGTGAATATTCTAATGTGCTGTGAATAGACAATGTTGCATATTAAAGGCTCTGGTATGTGACAGTTTGGTGTCATTCGTATCAATAAGCTCAAATTTTCATTAATAACAGTAAAACACCCAGGCAAAACAAACACAATACCTTTAACTCACACTTTCTCTGCCCTTTAGGGCTGAGTTTAATTCACCCCTTCTCCGTGGAAGTAGTATGGATCTCACTCCTACTAACATCTTGTATTTAGAGAAGCAGCATGGACTAAGAAATACAAGCTTGGGTTTTAGCATTGGGAAAACCATGTTCCCAAACTGATTTTAATGTTTCTGCTGATGACACTGGTTAACTTACTAAAGCTTTGTTTCCTCACCCTTAAAATTGGTCTCAATAATTGTATCTACTCTGTAGGAATGTGTGAGATAATGAATGCAAAGTAGTTAGAATGTCTGGCACTTAGAAAGAATTCAGTACATGTTAGAGATTATACAATACATAATTATTATTTTCTTGGTTACTTCCCAAGGTTTTTCACTAGAGGCCAATGTGTTAGGAGTTAGAGCATGGTATTCTTGATTATTTGTGGTCACAATGAAAGCATTATCCCTTTAATTTTCTCAAATGTTATTGGAATGTGTTATAATCAACCTTAAAATAGGGGATTTAGGCCTTTTGTGGGATGTGCATACTACCATAGGGTCCTGATACCAAAAAGAAGTTGGAGGGGAGAGATCAAGGGGATAAAAAGAGACATATGTAATACTTAAACAATAAAGAATTTAAATTAAAAAAAAAAAAGTTGGGCTAAAGTGGATGGTTTGGAATTTATGCTCTAGTTTTCTTATAGATAGGTGATCTTGGGAAGCTATGTTCTCAGGGCCTCAATTTCCTCTTCTATACAGACATGGCTAATAGTATTCATATAACAGTATTGTTATGAGAATACACTGAGGCAAAAGGAACTGGCACGAAGCAGCTGCCAACAATGCTGTTGACTAGCACTCGTTCTCATCTGGGATAGGCTAGGCCCAAGGCTTTCATTAGACACTAGTTCTAAGGCTAGGGTGACGCCTTTTGTAAAGAGGGGACCACAGCATATTCACATACAGCCATGCTCCAGAGCACCCCCCCTCCTCATCACCCCTTCACCTCTTCCAACTGGACGCACAGATTTCAGGGGTGGCCTGGCTCCCAGCAAGCCCAACCTGTCCTGTGATCTTACGACAGTCTGACCTTTCCCCTGGGTGGATGCTGGCTCCCTGGGGATGGATGAGTGATAAAGAACTGTACAGGTTCCCTGCCCAGATTCTCATTTCCCAACAGTGAAGCTACCTGTCTGGCTATTTTACTTTGGAGGCAAGATGACCTCATCCCTACTCCTCCTCAGAGCATGAGGCAGGACAGCATGTGGGAAGTGGAGAACTGCCTTTTTACAAGTACCTCACAGCACCCCCCCTTTGAATAAGCTGACACTATTTCTCTATTTTCTTCTCCTCCTCCTCTGCAGTTTAGCCCCATCAAACATTGTATTACATCAAGAGCCAAAATATGTTTCAAATGGGAAAACAAAAGGCTGTTTGGTTCCGTGTGCCGAATGTAACAATAAGCCACCCTCTCTGAAGTGTCTTCCAAAGGAATGCTGTGCCGGCAAGTTGCAAAGAAAGACTCTGGCCCCAAATCAAACTGTAAGCCGTGACAATGAACCACTAAATATCATAAATACCGGTAATTCCTCTTTCACCAGAGAGTAAGCTGGGCTAAAGGTACTGCGTGGTGGACTGGGAGCATTTCTGGTGTACTGGGGAAAATGCCCATCTATACCACCTCATCTCGGCAACTTTTAGTTTACTTCCACTACCTCAATTTAAAAAAAAAAAAAAAAATGTTTTCTGAAGCCTGATGAATGTAGCCTGTCATGATTTCCTGGTGGACTGAAATTTAGTTGCAAGTTTGAGGCTTCACAAGTCTGCCCCTGAAATGTGTGAGAGAAAAAGAAGTCTAGTAAGTATGTTTGTATTTTCAGGCTTTCAATAGCTCTTGGGACTATGTATGTCCTCTCCTGTCTAGAGAAGAAATTCTCTCCTTACCCCACACCTAAGCTGTTCCGTAGCCAAACACTTGAAATTAGCTGAAGGGCAGAATCAAAACACCTAACACTTCCTAAGAGGGACTCTCAGTAAAGGACGGCTTCAAACAGCAAACAGCCTTACAGAGAAATAGTCACATGTCCTGGCCATTCTGAGCCGGGCAAGGATCCCCTCTTACCTGGACTTCCTTCACGAGGCCATTCTTCATGCAGTTTCCATTCTGTGAGCCGTCCTGTTTCTTGTGACTGTAAAGATTCCCATTGCAGACGGCGCCTCCTCCAGCATTGGCCATTTGTGGCAAAGGATGGAAGCCAGCAGGTTTTCCTCCGGGGGTTCTTGGCAAGCTTCAGGGTCGAAGTTGGAGAGGGGATGGCATACAGCACGTCGGGCTGAGCCTTGGGAGGAATCCTACCAATCAGGCTTTTCCAGAAGAAGAGCAACAGTCTCTTTGGGGCAGATGTTTGAAACTAAAAGCATACGGGTTACCTTCCCACTCCTCAACTCCGAACGGGGCTTCCCCTGCCACTAACTAGCTCCTGAAACTGCAGAGGCCATTGCCCATGTTGGCTCCTCTTGTGGACTGAGTAAATCAGGAGACTGCAAAACCCAGTGGCAAACTGCGAGGGGGCGGGCTGGGAGGAGGAAATCTTTTAAAGACACACACACACACACACACACACACACACACACACACTACTCACGTGGAGGCTTCTGCCTGTATACAATCACTTCTGAATGGAGGTCTATCCCCCACTTTCCCTCTAGCATCTAATTACATTTTTGTGGGGTTTTTTTTAGTTGTAAATCAAGTTCAAAGTCAACATTTCTTTTTGCTGTAAAATAACACTCAGGGATTGCCAGGAGCTGGAGGAAGAGAGAATAGGAAGTTACCAGTTACTGGGCACAGAGTTTGAGCTGGAGACAGAAAGAGTTTTGGCAATAGATGGTGGTTTTGGTTGCATAGCAATGTGAATGTACTTACTTAATGCCACTGAACTGTACACTTTAAAATAGTTAAAATGGTAAATTTTATGTGATGCCTATTTTACCATAATACAAAAATGGCACACACACAAAAAAATTAGAACTCACCTAATGTTAAAGCCAATGATATAATGAAAGGTACTAAGTCATCAAGAATTCCTATAAGACATAGGTCCCGAGGACAGAATGTTTGGTGTTTTTTGTTTTGTTTCGTTTGTTTGCTTTTTTTGCTTTTTTAATTTTTATTATTATTATTATTTTTATCATGGCTGCATTACCTTTGCCATGTGGCCTTAGAGAGATCATTTCCCCCCCTGTTTCTGCCTCATTTTCTCCACCTATAAAATGAGATAAAACATTTTTTTGCTGGCTAATGCTGGTGGGGTAGTAGGAAAAGAAAACACTAGTTTGGCTTTGTTATGGACATGGGTGTTGTGAGGCAGATGGAGTCGCAAATAACTTCCGGTTTACTTATTAACTCTTAATCTCTCAATGCATCATCCGTCACAGAGCTCTGTGCTCTTCTATCAAGGGGCATTGCAGAGATATGGTGTGTTGGATGATGTTAATCATTTAAAGCCTGGTAAGTCCTTCCAGCCCACTTGCATTGTTCTCCTGAATCAAGGCTGCTTCTCCTCCTCCTCCCTCTCCAGAGTGTTTATTGGTTTTTAGAAAGAAAGAGAAAGGGGGAGGGAGTGAGAGAGTGACACAAAGATAGGCTGCCTCCTGCATGCCCCCTATCAGGAATCAAGTCTGTAGCCTGGGCATGTGCCCTGATGAGGAATCAAACCGGCACCTTTTCGGTGTGCAGGTGCATGAGAAGACACCCACCCAAGCAAGCCACACTGGCCAGGGCCTGAATCAAGGTTTCTTTACCATCAGACACTTAGCATAGAAACCAGTTTATTGGGTCAATGAACCAAAACAGAGAAAACAAAAACAAAAGGACAGGAATGGCCCCTGTTGTCAAAGCCTGATTTCCTGGTCCTCAGCTTTGCATAGCGTCAGCTTCCCCCACAGAAAGAGGTGGCTGATGGAGGTGGCGATCATTCTTTTCCTAACTATGATCTGCATTTGAGGGGTGCTGTGTTTTCCATCTCCTGGAGAGCTGAAGGAACACGAATTGGGGCCAAATCATGGAATGTGGTTAATACCAAGTGAATTCCGTTTGTGTCTCAAGCTCAGAATTTTTATTGCATCTCTTCTAACCATTGTCATCAGAGCAGAATTAGCTTTTTTTGGTCTTTCTCTTTTATGGCCATTACACTGAGAGTTGGGAGCTAAACCTGTGCTGTTGGCTTCTTTTCTTGCAGATTTATGCAAAAGAGAGATGGGAGGGTAGGAGAGGGCGCTGATAATGTTGGCCTGGCTGGAGTCTCAGCTTACTTAGGAAGACAAGTTGAAGACACTGTTATTTTGACTGAGCTCTACTGACCTGTAGAAAAAAAAATTTTAAATAAGAATTTTGAGATAAAACTAAATACTGAACATTAGATATTTATATTCTCTTCCTTTTATGTTCTTCTTTTTCTCTCCCCTCTTCTGATATTCCTTTTTTTTAATCTTACTTTCTCTCTTTCTGTTCTTTCCTTCTTTATTTTATTTTTATAAAAAAATAAAAAAACATACATAGAAAAAAACATCTTAAAAAAAGACTTTTTTTTTTTTTTTTTTTTTTTTTTTTTTTCCTAATTCCAATTTGCCAAGGTTAGATTGAGAAGGAAAATAGGGGGGCAACTTTGGGTGCTTACTTGGTTCAGTACCTAGTTAAACAGTAATCTTACAAACCCCATTCTAACTGATTTGGGCAGAGCTGCAAAGCCCACCCAGAGGGAATCGCCGCAAGAAAAAAACAACAGCATATATATATATATATATATATATATATATATATATATATATATATATTTTTTTTTTTTTCCCCTTAATTGCTTATAGTCTGAATGTGTGTCCTGTCCCCCTCAAAATTCATGTTGAAATCCTGACTCCCGAAGAAATATTATTACCGGGTGGGTTGATGCAAGGAAATTAAGTCACAAAGATGGAGCCCCATGATGGGGTTAGTGCTCTTCTAAAAAAACACACACAAAAAACTAGAGGCCACAGTGCACGAAATTCATGCACACTCAGGGGAATTCCCTCAGCCCAGCCTGCACTCTCTCACAGTTCGGGAGTCCTCAGGGGATGTCCGACTGTTGGACATCCTTAGTGCTGTCCACCACTGCTGCTGCACTTGCCAGCCATGAACCAGCTTTAGTGCACTGACCACCAAGGAGCAGCTCCTGTGTTGAGCATCTGTCCCCTGTTGGTCAGTGTGGGTCATAATGACCAGTTGTTTCCAGTTCAGTTGATTTGCCTATTAGCCTTTTATTATATAGGATGCCCAAGTAGCTTCCTTGTGAGGTAACAGCCATGTGAGGTAACAGCAAAATGATGCCCCTCTAGGAAGGGGGTCCTCACCAGACATCAAATCTTTTGGTGCCTTTGATACAGAATTTTTGGACTGGAACCTGGATTCTTTCTTTGTCCACCAGAGTTGAAGAATGAATCCATGGACAGAAGGTGGTATAACAAAGGTGGAGATTTATTGGGAAAAAAAAAAAAGTACAGACTCCCACGTGGGAAGGGGGAAACAATCCCACTGATTTTCTTTTCCCTGTAGCTTATAAAGGCTGCCAATCCTGGTGCCTTGATATCCCCTCGGATTGGTCATTATTCACTTGGACTGATTACTATAGTAACTTCTGGGCTCGAAGGTCAAACCTCTCATGTCCCCATAAGGAAGGTTCTCTCTCCCCCCCCTCCCCCCTTTCTTATTGTTTTCCTATTCCCTTTGGGCTTTCTTTTTCTCCTTCTGGACAAGGGCTTCCTTATCTTTACTTTGTAAATAGAGACCTTTTGCTGTTCCCAGCTCTCTCATTCTATGGAAATGTACCTGTTGCAGATTTTCAGCTTCTCTATTCTATGGAAATATACTGTCTGCTGCTCTGCAGCCTTGTGCTTCCATGGTCCCCTCTGTTTTTCACTCCTAAAAATTCCTGTTTCACCTTGATTTTGGGCTTCTCAGTTTTCATAATTATGAGGAATAAATTCTGTTGTTTATGAGCTATCCAGCTTATGGTTCTGTGTTATATAAACAGAATAAGCTAAGACATTGATCAATAGTAAAACAGATTACCTATTGAGTATGATTTTTAAAAAAATATTTTTATTGATTTTGTACAGAGAGGAAGGGAGAGAGAGAGAGTTAGAAACATTGATAAGAGAGAGTCATTGATCAGCTGCCTCTTGCACACCCCCACTGGGGATGTGCCCACAACCAAGGTACATGCCCTTGACCGGAATCAAACCTGGGACCCCTCAGTCCCCAAACCGAAGCTCTATCCATTGAGCCAAACCAGTCCCGGCATGAGTATGATTTTTGTGTCTCTGAATAACTAAGTGTATTTCAGATCAACCATTAAACTCAACAAATGTTTGAATAACTATGATATGCTAGGTTATTTGCTAGGCTCTTCATTACAACAATGAGCAAGATACAGGCAGTCTTCACCCTCATAAAACTAGAAGTTTACAACACCTGCATCTCTCCTTCCCAAGATCTCTCATTATGGAACGTAAAAATAAATCTGTCCTTTAGTGGATTAAGGACAAAGACTGTATTAGTTAAAGATGGCCTTTTATTTCCTGAAAGTACTACCTTTTTCTCATGCCAGCTTCTAGGGGCAGGTAAGAAAGAGAAGCTCAGAGGCTTGGTACTGTGTTTTGCAAAAGCTTTGGGAACCACTAGGAGATAGAAAATTGACAGAAAAGGGAGGAAATAAGCAAAATCAAAGGCCAAAATTATACAGTCTCTAGAAATCTATTGGATGAATCACTTCCCTTATATAATGGAAGGTAATGATGATGCAAAAACTAAAGTTCCAACAAGTTAAGTGGCTTTTCCAAAGCCAAAGAATGTGTGATAGAAGTAGGCCATGGATGCTATGATTTCTGAGTCCAGAGCAGGTCCCTTTTCCCTAAGACCTTAATAAAGAAGAAAGATAACAGAACTTGCTACAGTTTGGGATATTTCATTGAATTGGTCAAGTAACAAATAAAAACAAATTATTTTGCCTTCCTGATTCATTAAAATCCTGTCATCTATTAAATACGAAGCAAATATCTAGCCACATCTCAATATCTGCTGGGATTTAATAGTCTGAGATCCCTCTACAGGGAAGTACTTAAAATTTTCTAAAAATCAGTTTGGAAAATTCTCATAGAAGGCCAGATACCAACATTACAGATGTCAGATGTCAAGGTTTTTTCTTTCTTTCAGAACAAAAAACATGTTGTCAATGACTACTACCCCAAGGTCAGCAACAGTGTAACATTTCTGCTTTTCTTCCAGGGAATAGTGTCCACTCAAGTCCTTAGAGTAGCAATTATCTTCAGAATGCCCCCAAGCAAAGAACAGCATTACATCCTCCCTGTGGATGTCCTAACTGTAACTCTTTGCTTATGAAACTTAACATCATTTTTTTAAGTCCAGGATTCAGACTCAAATACACTGAGTGGCCAGATTATTATGATCTCTGAATGCATAATAATCAGGCCACTCAGTGTATAACCTATATAATAAAAGGCTAATCCTATATAA